CTCATTTAATCAGGATTTGTTATGTGAAATGTACCCATAACTTATATGATGCAATAAACAGAAAAAGGCTATAACTTTCCTATGCAGTTGTACTAGTTGGCCTAAATGTTTGGTGGTCCTATATGCCTGACCATTTCCCTGTCCTTGTCTCAGATTGTCTGAACTCCTCCACTTAATCCATGATGGTATTTTCTCTCACAGCGTGTTGTTACATTAGGAATCTCCACTGAAGTGTGAGAATTATAAGCTTTATTTTTGGCTCCTCTGTGCAAATATACCTAGGAGATGCTTAGAAGGAACAGAAAGGAGGCTGCATGAGTTAAAGCTTAACTTTCTTTATAAGCATAAGTGAGCAACCACGGGCCTCTCCCATGAGCATAAGGAAGTAAAGAACAGAGCTTTGTAAAGAGCAAATTGTGTCAGACCAATTTAATTTTCTCCTATGACAGAGTGACAGTCCAAGATGATAACAAAGAAGAAATAGATATTATCTATATGGGCTCTAGGAAGGCTTTTGAGTTCATCCAATATGACATCCTCATCAATAAATGAGAAAGGTCTGGTCCAGATCATGCTGCAGTTAGGTGAAAGCCTCCCTTGACAAGAAAGGGTTTGCTGCAAGCAGGAGCTGTATGTCCTTCTGGATTCAGCACCGCCACCTTGGCATTCTGTTTGGAGGAGCACCATACTTGTTAGGGAGCCACCAGGAATACTTGTCAAAACCAGATGATATGTCAAAGCAGGGATAAGGGTGAGTATGTCCTTAAAAGTGGTGGAAGCAGACCCAAGAAAAAGGAAGATTAAATTAAATCAACATATAGCATAAAAACACTTGGGCCTGAGAAGGAAAGGAAATGCAAGATAAGAATGATGTCACTGCCACTATTTCAGGGCACATGAAGATCTAGACTCCCAGAATTCCAGAGCTAAAAGGACCTTTCCCATCCAACTGCCCACCTTCCCCATTTTACAGAGGCAGCTAGCTGGAGAGAGGGAGTGACATGCTCAAAGCTACACAGCTGGTTAGTTGCAGTCCTGAGACTAGAAGACTAGAAGGATATTGCTCGTCAGTATCCTTTTTACTTCAAACTGTCACTGTTGACTTTGTATATATATACATATATATGGGCTTCTTGAGGCATCTTTTACATATCCTATCACTCACCCATTTCAAGCCTACAATTCAGTGATTTTTTTTTTTAAATAAATTTGCCAAGTTCATGCAACTATCACCACAGAGCAGCTTAAGAAAATTTCCGACACCCCACTGTGTCTCCTGGTAGCATTAAGTGTTAGCTTCTGTCACCAGCTGTCTCCTAGCCCTAGGCAACCACGACAGAGTTGTCAGTCCTTTGGTGTGACTCTAGGCCTGGTCTAGAAGAAAGACATCCTATCTCTGTGGATTTGGTTTTTCTGGACGTTTCAGGGAATGGAATCATACAGTAGATGGTCTCGTGTGTCTGGCTTCTGTCAATGTAGCATAATGTTTTTGCAGTTCATCCATGCTGTAGCAGGACTTTGTCCTCTTTGAATGACAAAAAGTACTCCATTATATGAACATATTGCATTTTTTTTCAACAATTGGCGGACGCTCAGGTTGTTTCTACTTTGGGGCCATTATGAATAATGTTGCTAATAGCAATCATGTTTCTCTACTTTTTAAATTCAGTGACTTTTCCCCCTCGAATGGAGGCTAAATTTTCCATCAGATGTGTCATCTTCCTCTACTCTTTTTCCCTGCTGATCTGGACAGTCAATTCCCCCAGATGGCAACCAAAGTTGCTATTAATGTTCTAATAAATAGCCTCTGGGGATCCAGTAGTCCAGAGAAGAAAAGGCTTGCTAATCTAATAACAGTCTTTTATTCGAGGATGGCTTATGAGAAACTGTTAGCCAAATGCCCTCCATCTTCACAGAAAATAAATGAGAGGAATTGGATTTAAACCTCAGGGAAAACCACTTCAGCTGGGCATGAGGAGGCGTGTTTTATATGGTAGTGGTTGCTATCAAGTTAATTTGCAATATTATAAAAACAAAGCCCATGTAATTTCCTCTGAGAGAAGCTCCTATGAATGGGTTTACATCTGTCTGAGGCCAGATGGCCCTGCGATCCCCTCAAAAGAAGACAATCCTTTTGTGGCTCTTTCTTCTGTGTGGTGAAGAAAGACATTTGGCCTTCGGTGTTCACAGAGGCCATTTCATTGTGCCCATGAGACCAGTTATTGGAGTCATTGTGTCATAAAGCCAGTGGTTGGAGAGTTTTACCCAAACCACTGGGTGTGGCAGAAGGAGACATTTCTCCCATGCCCTGAACAGAGCAGTGTCCCCTGCTACTGCTCTCTCCCTAACAGTAGCTAGAACAATCGTTATTCACTTCTAGAAATTATACAACTCCCAGCGTAATTTCACATCTCATCTCCTTTTGACTTCCTGTTCGAGCCTGGGTAGTTCCCACTGTGAGACAGATTGTCACATGGCGGTTCAAAGCCCCTTCCAGTCCGAGTCTGTTCTGTAGATTGGCCTCTCTGCTGTCATGCCCAGCAGTGGACCATCATCACAGTGGATGGTTGCTTAAAGACCACACATCCTTTAGCTTCTCTGTATTTTTACTGTGTTGTCCCTTCACATCCTCCATCTTTTGGAGAACTCTGGCCTGCGCATCATCTTCTGTAGGTAAATCTTCTCTCGTTGGCAGAATTCATCGCACTCCCCTTTTGGGCACTCACAGGGCTTAATAATGCAGTACACTACCTTTCCTCAGTAGCTTGCCTTCCCTGAGTTTTTCTTTCTTTATCACAAATACTTTGTCTTTCAGAGGAATTCTATGAAACCTAAATACCAAAGAATGCTGCATACAAATGTCATATTTGGTATTAAGTAAAAATGTGAATATAGATGTCAGCTTATAATTAGAATTAGTTTTTGGTGGGTGTCCTCCCTCGATCCTTAAGTGCAGCAATCTTGACGTATTCACCTTTGTCTCCTAAATACTGAATCCAAGTCCTGATACCTAACAAGTGAGATTGAATCATTATGAAGTAGGCAGAGAGATAGTATTACCATCATTTGGCAGATTTGAGGTTGATTTCCAAAATGCTAAGTGATATAATGACTTAGTGGTTATGTCTTGGCGCCTTTTCCTGAGTTCACCAGCAGAACTTCCAGAAACCTCTGAAAGACTGGTATCTTGTCTCTCTATCTAGTATCAAAGGTTGGGTTGGTTTCTCAAAGTATTGTTTGAGACTACTTGTCATAGACTGACTTTTTTTTTTTTTTTTTTTTTAATGATAGTCACAGAGAGAGAGAGAGAGAGGCAGAGACACAGGCAGAGGGAGAAGCAGGCTCCATGCACCGGGAGCCTGACGTGGGATTCGATCCTGGGTCTCCAGGATCGCGCCCTGGGCCAAAGGCAGGCGCCAAACCACTGCGCCACCCAGGGATCCCCATAGACTGACTTCTACAGATACTTATTTAAAAATATAAAATCAAACCTCACAAATGTAATTTTGAGAAAAAAAAAAAACCCACAAAATCAGAAATGGAGAACAGTACTTCCTATTTTACAGAAGTAAAATTATATTAGAGAGTACTATGAGCAACTGTATGTATCATGAATCATTAGGGAAATGCAAATAAAAACCACGATGAGATTATTACCACCTCATGCCCATTAGGATGATCTCTGTCAGGAAGGAAGAAAAGAAGAAAGGAAGGAGAAGGGGAGGAAAGGGGGAGGAGGGAAAGAAGGAGTGTTGACCAGGCTGTGGAGAAATTGGAACACTTGTGCACTGTTGGTACAAATATAAAATGGTATATCTACTGTGGAAAACAGTATGGCAGTTCTTCAAAAAATTAAAAACCAAATTAATATTTAATCAGATAGTTCTGCATCTGGGTATACATCCAAAAGAATTGAAAGTAGGGATGTGAAGAAATATGTGTATGCCCGTGTTCATAGCATTATTCACAGAAGCCGAGAGACAGAAGCAACCTAAGCATCCACCAGCAGATGAGTGGATAAGCAAAATGTGTTTTATACGTGCAGTGGAATATTATTCAGCTTTAAAAAAGTAAATAAATCCTGACACCTGCTACAACACGACTGAGCCTTGAACACATCATGCTAGGTGAAATAAGCTGGTCACAAAAGGACAAGTCCTCCGTGATTCCACTTATGTGATGTCCCTGGAGCAGTCAGATTCACAGAGATGGAAGGTGGAGTGGTGGTTGCCAGGGCCTCACAAGAGGAGGGAATGAGGAGTTACTGTTTAATGGGGACAGAGCTTCCATTTGGGAAGATGAAAAAGTTTCTGGGCATAGATGGTGGTGATGATCGCACGATAATGTGAGTGAATCTAATGCCACTGAGCCGAACTCTTAAAAATAGTTATGATGGTAAATTCTATATCATGTGTATTTTACCACAGTTTTTAGAAATTCAATTCAAATTTTAAAAACAAGACACAAAGAAATATATACTGTATGATTTCATTTATTTACAGCACAGCCATCAGTTGATAGTGTTCGATGTCAAGATAATGGTTACCCTTGGGAGGGAAGAGTAACTAGAAAGCAGGAAGAGCTTCTAGGATATGGTAATATTCTCTCTCTTGATCTGGCTGTTATGACATGGGTGTGTATAGTTTGTGAACCTCTCTGCACTCTACAGTTGTGATTTGTGCGGTTTTCTCCGTGCCTGTTACACTCCAAAAAATGATTCCAAAAATGTCGATCATCAGCCTGACAGCAGACTACAGAATCAGAATCCCTGAGGATGGGACCTGGGGACCCTGTATCTTAAAACCCTCCCTTCCAAGTTTTTCGTAAGAGCATTGGATTTGAGGATCTTTGCTAAAAGAGAGGGACTAGGGAAATAGTCTCCCAATGCCCAAGAATTCCATTCTGCTCTAACAATAAATATTCCTTAGAAAAGAAATTCTTGATATCTTTGAGTCATTTAGCTTCTCCTGTTAGGAAAATGCATATCATCTTTCAGGTATGGAGAAATCAGTGATGTATAGAAATGAGTATTTTAATAAATTACATTTCAAAATATTATTTCTTGTAATTCATACACACAGTAGCTTACGAATATTTTATTGAGGCCCTCTAAAAGCTGGCAGGTGCTAGGACCTCATGGAAGTCCTACTCCTTTAGTAGGAGGGAAGACATTGCCCCATGGGGCGTGGCACCATGCAAGCAGGTACAGAAAAGCCAGTTCTTCTACCTGTAAGCTAATGAGACTCCATCTCAGCTCTCTCCACACCATCTCCAAAACATCAGCAGCTTCTACACTTGCTCCTTAAACCAAAAGCATGTTTCTTGCAAAGGCTTTATTGGAAGGGGCAGATCGAGGCCTTGGAGAAGCCCTTGGAGGCCTTCTTGGAGGAGGTGGTCAGAGAAGAGGAGGAGGAGGAGGAGGAAGAAATATTGGAGGGATAGTTGGAGGAATTGTGAATTTCATCAGTGAGGCTGCAGCAGCTCAGTACACCCCGGAACCACCTCCCACTCAGCAGCATTTCACCAATGTGGAGGCCAACGAAAGTGAGGAAGTTCGTCGGTTTCGACAACAGTTTGCACAGCTGGCAGGACCGGACATGGAGGTGGGCGCCACTGACCTGATGAATATTCTCAACAAAGTCCTTTCTAAACACAAGGATCTGAAGACTGATGGCTTTAGTCTGGACACCTGCCGGAGCATTGTGTCTGTAATGGACAGTGACACGACCGGCAAGCTGGGCTTCGAAGAGTTTAAGTACCTCTGGAACAACATCAAGAAATGGCAGTGCGTTTATAAGCAGTATGACAGGGACCGCTCTGGGTCCCTAGGAAGTTCTCAGGTGCGCGCGGCTCTGCAGGCAGCCGGGTTCCAGCTGAACGAGCAACTTTACCAAATGATCATCCGCCGATTCGCCGATGAGGATGGAAGCATGGATTTCAACAATTTCATCAGCTGCCTGGTCCGCCTGGATGCCATGTTCCGTGTCTTCAAATCCCTGGATAGAGATGCAGATGGCCTAGTTCAAGTGTCCATCCAAGAATGGCTGCAGCTGACCATGTACTCCTGAAGTGGGTGCCGAGAAGCCAGCGCCCAACGAGGACGGGACTCCTGAAAGCCCAGCCATGCTGTCTGCACGTTGGCTCATACCCTGTCCTGGAGCTGTCGTTTCCTGTGAGCTCCTACACCAGCTTGCATGCTTCGAACTGGGGCTGTCCTTTACCGCTTAATTAAAACATATTTTTTATGAAAAATATTCCAGGTGGTTTGTATGTCAGGTTTTTGAGATACTGAATGTATATGATGGGGCGGGGGAATGTGGGGCAGAGCCCCAGTCAAGTAGATTTTAATAGAGCATTGCTTATTTGGTGAGTGAATTCCAAGGAGCAGGAAATTTGTTGTTACTGAGAATGAAATTTTGAAAAAATCTTGGAATAAATCAAAAAAGCCCTCAAGAGATCTATTTTTTTTCCCCCTTTAAAAAGGTGAGGAGGGGGAAGCCTGGGTGGCTCAGCGGTTTAGTGCCGCCTTCAGCCCAGGGCGTGATCCTGGAGACCTGGGATCAAATCCCATGTTGGGCTCCCTGCATGGAGCCTGCTTCTCTCTCTGCCTGTGCCGCTCTCTGTGTCTCTCATGAATAAATAAATAAAATATTTAATAAAAAATAAATAAATAAATAAAAATAAAAAGGTGAGGAGGAGAGAAGTTCAAAATCTGTTTTTCCTCACATCTGGTCTTTCCATTATGTAAATAAATAAATAAACAAATAAAAAGTGTTTTCCTGGAAACCTATTTAACCGTATAGAAACAGGTTCAGAAATGAGAAAAGCAATTTCACATAAGGTAAGTAGATAAACATTTTTAATGGTAGAGCAACTGTCTAAAATTCCAGAATTCTTTAGTCCTGTTTCTCTAGTAAGATAAGCATGAAGCAAACTTGTTTTGCTTTGATTTGTTTGTAAAAAGGGTTAGGGCATTGGAGAATAAAGGGTGGATCCGTAATCTAAAATGTCACTCTTAATCATTCTTACATGTGCTTCATACAAAATCAGGCATGCCCGGCGCGTGTTGGCTGACTGGTTCTTGTCATGTCTTGCCCTGCCCCAGAGCTTGGAATGGTTTTTTTGTTGTTGTTCCTCTTGAAAAACTGCAGACAGAAGAAATGTAACCAAAGGAGGAAAAAAAAAAAAAAAGGAAGGGTTGCATGAATTGTAACCAATTATGTAGTCTATAAAGGAATATAGAGATATATAAAGATACATAAATATTGTTGACTGTTACAGTGCTTCTCACAGCTGACTGCAATTCAGAATCACAGGGAGAGCTCTTTAGGAATACTGACACCTAAGTCCCACCCCAAACTGGTAAACAGAGAATCTTGAGAGGTGGGGCCCAGGGATGAGTATTTTATCCCCAGGTGATCCAATAAGCAGGTAAGGTCACCATGCCAGAGCAGTGGTCTCTGTCTTGTGTATGGCCCTTGGTTTTGCCCTCTCGTTTTGATCAGGAGGTTATGGTGGGCGTAATCCAGAATCCTCCAGCAAGTAGATTCAGCCTGAGGGCATGCGTCTGCTAGTGCTCAGCTCCCCCACCTGCTATTGAAGTAGCCCCTCCTGCTTCTCTGGCTCTTAATGCATTCCTTCTCTCTCCCAGGCTACTTTAGAGGGTCCTCCTGAGTTTGAAGATAAATTCTTCCTTCCTCTTTGGACTCATTTAGAGGAGTGTTTAACTATGGAACTGATATAACTCTCCTGTTAACAGCCCACAGCTGCATGTGAGAAATCCCCAGTGAAATCAGGAGAGGTTGGCATTTGGCCTCCTCGCTCACCATCATCACCATCATATAATATTTATGCAACACCACGCACATATAATTCTGCACTGAGCCAAGCACAGAGACCACATCCGCCTTCCTCTAGGGACTTGTAAATTTAAGTTTGCTCTGGTGTGCTACTTAGACCAGGTATGGTCCTATCAGAATGAGATCACTGCCAGCAACCACACATTAATATCAGGATCCTTATTTTAGAATCAACCCATTCATACATCAGAGATGAGTATAGGAATATAGCCAAGAAAGGGGAAAGCTGCCAAGATGCCTTTTAAGGTCTCAGAATATTAAGTTTATTATTTAACCTTTCCATATGACAGTTGTAGAAAGGGCAGCAGAGCCTTACCCTTTTTTCCTCAGTTAATTCTAAATATTTTATGAAAGTTAAGACGGTTACCTCATGCTGGAGGTGATATTAAGTATTTTTCTTGCTCCTAGGGTCAAGGGATTATCTGCTCTTAGGATTCACTTCCTGCCTGTACAGGGCAAACATCCTGAAATTACGTACATTTCTCTTCTGGATTTGTATAAAACTTGTACAGGTAACCCCAGTCACTAGCGTAGACACTAGAAAATCCAGTCTAAACTCTGGACTTTTTTTAAGTATTCAAAACTTTGGCATTGTGTGGAACCATTAGCCTAATGAATGATTGAATTTCTTAGTTTTTATCTAACAGTTGATGTTTTAAGGGGACATTTTCAATGTGTGAGGGAATATTTACATGGTAATTTTTTTTAATTTTGCCATTTCTACATGGAAGCTTGCTTATAGGCTAAGACTTTATATGATTCCTATTCCATCCCATGATTTTTTAGTTCTAACATTAAGCAATACAATCGATGTAGTAAGTTGAAAATAATACTCAATGATCTTATAAAGCATTTGAAATTGTACCATCTACATTTTTAAATTTCAAAACATCCCATATGACTTTGAAAAACATCTTTATGTTAATACAAGCCCCTGGATTCCATAAACTGTGACTGCAGGAAAAAAGAATGTAGTTCTGTATGTCTGCATGCATGCTGTACACCTAAGAAAAGCAGACCTCCAAAAATATGCAGAATGGGTACATCATCTTAAAGGTCACTTTTTAAATATCTTTTGAGGGATCCCTGGGTGGCGCAGCGGTTTGGCGCCTGCCTTTGGCTCAGGGCGCGATCCTGGAGACCCGGGATCGAATCCCACGTCAGGCTCCAGGTGCATGGAGCCTGCTCCCTCTGCCTGTGTCTCTGCCTCTCTCTCTCTCTCTCTCTCTGTGACTATCATAAATAAATAAATTTAAAAAAAAATTAAATATCTTTTGAGTAGTAGTGCATTTATTTTTAAAAACTTTTTTTAAGTTAGCAATTTTGTCAGTAATATTGCATGACTAACCCATCATGGGGCCTTAAAAAAATATTCACAGATGCACCTGCAGGGCCCTGATATTTAACATGTCTATCAATCTTGAGGTGCTTTCAGTATTACTTCTTTAAAGTGCCTGTGTTTAATGTTAAGTGGATTAAAGCAATTTAATTCTGAGAAAATTGGTAATACAATTGTGTATGTGGGTAGAAACATGCTCTTAATAAGAATATTTGAGTAAACAGAATGCCTCTTCCCAGTCTCCTCTGAAAATACAGGCAAAATTTCCTGTATTTTAATAATAGTACTCCTTTGGATTTATGAAGCATCTTCAAAAACTCAAAGCCCTTTCCCCTTTGGCTGCTGCGGAATAGGTTCTGGTTTTATATAAACATTTCTAAATTGTTTTGATGGCATTGATTATCCCTTATTTGCAGGGATGATACAAATTATAACACATCAAAGACAATATAGTCCTCATCCTTGGGAGTTTACCATCTCAAAAGATATTCAGAACAGTATCCTTAAAACTTTAAAATTTAAAGTTTTAAAGTATCCTTACAATTTTAAAGGTTGTAAAATGTATTTAACTCAGTAGGAATAAAAATGTTCAATAAATTGGACTAAGAAAAGCCTTAGGGATTGGATACCTGAGAATCAGACACAAGAACACCATCATTCATTTCCTTCTGGATTTTTATTTTATTTATTTTTTAGACAATTTTTCTTTTTTTTTTTAAGATTTTGTTTAATTTATTCATGAGAGACACAGAGAGAGGCAGAGACATAGGCAGAGGAAGAAGCAGGCTCCCTGTGGGGAGCCTGATGCAGGACTAGATCCCAGGACCCCAGGATCATGACCTGAGCCAAAGTCAGATCCTCAACCACTGAGCCACCCAGGTGCCCCTCCTTCTGGAATTTTAAATGGACCACATTTGAATATGTGATCTGGAACTTCCCACTGGTCTGAGAAGCCAGTGTTGTGTGACTGTGGGGACGGCAAGGTGCTAGGGCCCCAGGAGGTCCCTTCACTTCCACACTTTTCTGATCCTGCCAACCACCACTAGATCCCACCATCTAGAGTGTCAGGCAGGTTCAGTCACCCTGTCTTTTGCAGTAACCCAATACAAATCTATAGTTCCTCCTTGGGACTGTCCTGGCCTCCAGATTAGGACAGATGATGGAGGGATTAGAGTCTCCTTCCAGAAAGCTGGGCTCCTCCTTTGAAATGTGGCCTTGAAATATTTTCAAGTCTAGATTTTTAAGTTTATAATTCTTCCTGAGAAGATCAATAGATTTTTAAAGAAAAAAACCCCACAGATTTGAAGTACAGTTTTTATCATGGAACTGGTTTGAAATTAAAAAATTAAAGGAGTGCATTTTGTTGTATACTTTTTTATTATCTGTTTTTGAATGTATTTTATTAAGCTACTTTAATTTGAATGATTTGGAGTCCGATCACTTACATTTTCATTGTAATTAATGGTAATAGCAAGTTTTATGACCTCAAATAAACTTTATGTCTCATTTTTTTATTTAAAATCAATTAACATATAGCATGTTATTAGTTTCAGAAATAGAGTTTAGTGACTCATCGGTTGTATATAATACCCAGTGCTCGTTACATCACATACCCTCCTTAATGCCCGTCTGCCAGTACCCCGTCCCACCACCCTCCTCTCCTCGAGCAACCCTCTGTGTTTCCCAGAGTTAAGAGTCTCTTATGCTTTGTCTCCCCTCTGATTTCATCTTATTTTATTTTTCCCCTCCCTTCTCCTTTGTCCATGTGTTTTGTTCCTTAAATTCCACATATGAGTAAAAATCATGTATTTGACTTCCTCTGATTGACTTATTTCACTTAGCATAATACCCTCTAGTTGCATCCACATTGTTGCTAATAGCAAGATTTCTATTTTTTGATGCTGAGTAATATCCCATTGTATATATATCTTTATCCATTCATCTGTCAATGGACATCTAGGCTTTCCATAGTTTGGCTATTCTGAACATTGCTGCTATAAACATTATGGTGCAGGTGCTCCTTCAGATCACTACATTTTTATCCTTTGGATAAATGCCTACAAGTGCAATCGCTGGGTCATAGGGTTCTCTCTCTCTCTCTCTCTCTCTTTCTCTCTCTCTCTCTCTCTCTCTTTAGTCAAAATGAGTTAGTCGAATGGGTAACTTCAAAGATTCCTTCCAGTTCAAAGTTTTATTATTCTGAATTTGGAAACTTAACAATATATTATTTTATTGATCCAATAATAAAATATCTGAGAATAATTAATTTCCATACTGCTTTTTTACCCCCTTCACATTACTAAGATGAAAACTTACCTATAATTTCTTGTGTGATTGATTACCAAGGGTCTGCTTCTTTTTGTCAACCAAAACCATTCAGAGATAAGACTGCTAGTGAATATTAGAGGTTCAGAATATTACTTTGTTTTGTGAGTAGTGGTAATATGAAAGGTCTTTTACATTTCCCTTTGTCCATCTACAGAATGAGTAATAATGCTTGACCTCTGCTATACATAGGGTTCAGTGGTATAAATAAAAATTAGAGCCTCACAATGAAGAGACAACATAAATTCAAAAGAATATTCCCAATTGTACAATCTATGATTGTAGGTTCATTGTCTACTGCTCATTCTTCTATCTGTTCTTCAGACCTTCCATTCAAGACTTCTGTGTTGCTTCATAGAGAATGCCAATTGAGGAACAAATGCACCTAAGTGAGCAATAGGTCTATCATTCAATAAGCTGCTCAGCCTCTAAGGCTAATGAACAACAGCCTTCTGTGATGTGTAAGGAAATGAATGGTGGTGGCACAAGAAGGAAATCATGTTACTTAAAACTCCACTGTCTTTGAAATTTCAAGGGTGATGAAAATCTTGTAGCTATTATTTGTGGTAGTGGTTACCCTGGTGCATACATTTGTCAAAACACGTTAACTATACACTTAAAATGGATCTTTTCATTGGATGTAAATGATACTTTAAAAAAAAAAAAAAAGATCAG